TTCCCTGTGTCTAACCCTGTCTGTCTGTCTGTCTGTCTCCAGGTTCACTTGCCTCCGTCCTCCGTTGTGTCAGCTGGGCTGGCCACCTTGCCCTCACCCCTCGGACGTCCTCCCGGCTCTTCCCCATGCCTAGCCAGTCAGCCTGCCACCATACTCCTCCACCAACTCCCCCGGTCAGTTCTCCCATGCCTCCTCTCTTCCTCGGTCCCTTGTTTCAGTCTCCTCGGTTCCCCATGTCCGTGTTTCCCCGGCATCCGCCTCTCCCTCACCCCCACTCCCTCAACCCCTTTTTCTCCCCAATAAAACCTGTTTCACTGGAGCGTTGCTTTTGGGTCCTCTCTGTCCAACACACATAACACATACAGCCTTAGAGCCCATCTCCGCCTGTATTTTTTAGTCTCAGTGACTATTCTCAGTGATTTCCATGTTTTTTTTTAATAGTTTTTCGTGACTGTTGCAAAGCTCATAACTTTTTGTTTTCATTTTTCAAAGCGTCAATTTTGACGAAGGCAAAATTAAGGGTGGTTTTCAGCTCTTTGATGCCTGACTTGTTGTCTCTTACCATCAGCTCCAGGTTATCTCTGGTTAACTGCAACCAGAATGTTAGCCTGAAGATCCTCTAGGGACAAGTCGCTCCTTTCTTTCCTTTTTACTTTGAAGGCAGGGTTGGAAGAGGGGCTACCAACCGGTGTTACAGCCTCAGAGTCCGTTGAGAAGTCGTCATCCATTTTCCCGCCGTTGTTTTCTTTTTGGCTAGCAACGTAGATGTGGTCCGTTAGCTTCAGCACTTGAGCTCTGTCGTTATGTTTCTGTTTCCTATTCTGTTTTTGTTCGGACATAATATGGCATAAAAACTTTATCGACAACAACATGTAGTTCCACCGTCGTTAAAAGCAAAGTTGGGAGGACAGAAAACTGTTATTAAGCAAGCCGCTCTGTGGTTGCGATTGAGTGCATTACCGGAAGCTGACACGCATCCTCTAGTGGACCAGCATGAGTATTACATGCTTTGGCATGTTGCATCATGGGCTTCACAGAGGGCTTCAGTATCATTAACTTTAATGGAGTCTTTCAACTTAATAAGGTTGTCTGTTGAATTGCCCAGTTAAAATTAAGATATGGTATCACACCAGAGGACATGGTTTTCAGTGACAAAATATATCAAGCTCGTACATAAGCTCCTAAATATATGGATGAAATAAATGATTGCCATTCACTAAAATAGACACTTGTAACATTATGCCTGAGGTATTTCTCAACATTTGTATGCGTGTCATTTTATTTTATAAAAGTTGTAATTTATTACACCATGCATGAGACAGTCACACCATAGGACAATTTTGCACTTTTGACAAAATAATTTTTTATAGATATATTTCCAGTCAAAGTGAATTTTAAACTGTATTTACATGAGTTGTAAACTGATGATACAATCAGCAGTATGTGTAGGGGGTAAAAATAAAAGTCAAAGTCTGGATGAGTTATCAATATTATTCACACCTGTGGAAACACAAAACAACATTATCTCTGTCATTCATCGGACTATTCAGTGTTTCTAATGTGCTTATTAGTTTGAAGTAAGTTAATTTAGAAGAGCTGGGTTCTGTAGAGCTTTTTAAAGTAAAGCTTTTTCGGCAGTTAAATTATGTTGTAATTACAGTAAGGTTGTCTTGAGTCATGATAAACTGTCCCACAACACTGACAAATACATTTTAATTGTGTTTCATTGTTAAATGGCCATCATTCAAAGGGAAATGTGTTTTCAAAGCCCTGACATGCTTCAGTGCTTCCAAGTGTTGTTCAGTTTTTGTACAGCTTTGTAGTCTGCTGTGTCACTGTGGCTCTCATGCACAATAATAAACAGCAGAGTCTTCTTGTTTCAGACTCTTCACCTCTAAGTACACAAGGTTTTGGACGTGTCTTTGGTGATGGAAAACTGCCCTTGGACACTTTGGGCAAATTTTGTGCCAGTTCCGTCATTAATGCGTCCGATCTATTCCAGTCCTTTCCCTGGTTTCTGACGAATCCAGTGCAGCCAAGCCAGAGGAAGACCTTCCACTTTACAGGACAAAGTGACTGGTTCTCCAGCTCTGCTGATCACTGGCTCTGAGGAGGTGAAGGACTGGCCCTGAGCAGCTGAAAGAGACACAGAGTTTAGATGACGGGTAGCCAGCAAACATCCAAAGCTCCTATACATCTCTGCTGGACACCGACTTCACTCACCTGAAATCAGAGCAAAGAGGACGACACATTGTAGAACTGTCATGGTGGAAACTTGGCTGAGTCGCATTTGCAAAAGCTGTTATGAAGGAGATATATTGTGCAGGCAGATTGGGTGGGGACTGTGCATCAGTGAGTCATTTTGCATTTTACCAGTCTGAGTCCTCACAGGGGTTTATGGCTGGATTAGGCCTGATATTCAGTTTTTGTTTGGTGAAAATGGAAAATGAAGGCGGAGGAGGTGGAGTTGAAGCTATCTTCGACTCTAGGCTTCTAATCAGTCTGTTAATGATTGGTGACCTAACCCGTTTCTCGTCCAGTGTCATCTGTGATTGGCTCCCGCAACCGTTAACATTAAGCAGGTTTTTGTTCAAGTTACACAAACTAAATAAATACATTGATTTTTGGAGGTCATTGCCACTTTCTCTTACAGGGCATTAAAATGTGATGAAAATGGAGATGCTGCCCAGGTTTATGTATTTGTTTCAAAAATACTCCAATTAAGTGTTCATTGACATTCTCTAAAACTTTAATTCAATGCGCTCACTTAGACTCACTTTACTAAAATGTAAAAAAGTGGGTGATTTAACTGGACAGCTAATGTCAGAGCCCTAATTTATTGGTAACATTAGTTTCCTCAAACAAGGAAGCCCTCTGAGTCACCGAAGTGACTGGGTAGAGTTTCATGCAGTGGATCAAGACCAGAAGCCAACTGCTCACCTGCTCACCACATCACTTTTTTTCAACATAAAAATGCAATTCCTTTGATTCACTAACAAAATCCTCCATGATCAGGCTCCTCTTATTTCATAAAGATCCCCTACTGCTGTACTTTCCACCATAGCCTGTTTCATCTAACACCAACCTCGTGTCCCCATCATCCAAACCAAGCTGATCCAGTATTTTTATGTTCAAGAAATTAATTAAAAATTTCCTTTTAAATTGTATCTTATAGCGGTATTGAGCAGTGGTAGTTTGTGCAACTGAGGGGTCATGTGTCTGAATAGGTGGTCAGCAGCAAAGGAACACCACAGGGGACTGTACTCCCACCATTTCTTTTCACGCCTTACACCTCTGACAACTCCTGTCATCTACAGAAATACTCAGATGATCCTGCAGTTGTTGGGTGTATCAGCGATGGAGATGAGACTGAGTATGGGGATCTGGTTAACTGCTTTGTGTTGTGGTGTGGGAGCAACCACCTCCTCCTAAACGTGACAAAGACGAAGAAGATGGTGGTGGACTTTAGGAGGACCAGGACACAGTTTGTTACACAAACTATTTAACATCATGGACAACACTTCACATACGCTGCACAACCTGCTGGTCGGGCAGCAGAGTGCATTCAGCTGGACACTACTACAACTCCACTGTAGCAAGGACCGTAACAGAAAATCATTCCTATCCACTGCCATTGCCAAACCTGTGCAGGGAGAGGAGACTGAAGGACACGTGAATGTTAAGAACATTAAACTACAGTTAATGCAAGTGATGCATCTTGAATATGTGCACAGTGGCACTTGTGTATACATCTCAGTTTTATAAATATAAAAATAAATGTAAATTTTTTACATTACGTTAGTTTGTGTGTTTCTGGTAAATTTTTTTGTAATCTCTGTCAGTTTTGCTGCTGCAACAGCAATTTCTCCTCGGGGATCAATAAAGTTCTATCTATCTATACATTCGCAAAGTGAGGATGAGAGAAGACAGAGTTTTTGCACAGAAATCCCACAGAACATTTGTCACTGCAGGATTAGTTATTCATCCATCTTTAATCGCAGTCTCACAAGCACAAGAAGACACCGCAGCTCCTTCAGGCTTCATGACAGATGGAGCTGCAGGAGTGTTAACAGTGAACTGGTGTTGAAGTCATTAGTGGTCTGAGGGCTCCTCCTCTGGTGGCTTCATGTTCATGTCAAGTGTTCAGGCACTTGGGGGTTTTTCTTCAGGTCTACTGATGGTTTGTGTTATTGTGTTTCTCCGTCACAGTAATACACAGCAGTGTCTTCAGTCCGTTTAGAGTCACTCTGTTGCTGGAAGAGTCTAGTCGATACTGAACTTGTTCTTTAGGGAAACTTTGTAATATGCGGTGTATCCAACATGTGCGCTTCCAATCCACTCCAGTCCTTTCCCTGCAGGCTGTCTGATCCAAGCTGTCTTGACAGGACGGTCAGACGTTGACCTGGCTGCACAGTCACAGAGGCTTGCTATGTCAACTGTTCCCACTTCACACCTGTTAAAAAAGAAAATGTTTTGATACAGATAGAATAAAAGTAGAATCAGTAACATTCTGCATGGATCTATAAATATATACACAGTGTATACGCACTATATTCAATCAGTACAATTTACATTCTACGTAGATTTTTAGATATTTACACACTTTATACAACCAATATGCGATAATTATTTACAACCAAATAAATAAATATGATCAAAAATTATGTCTGTCGGACTGGCAGAACATCCGTAGCAGCATAGAAACGTACGAAGGATCACTGTTGGTCTAACTGGAGCCAATAGAAGAGTCTGTTGACAGTTATTATAACATGCCTGGAAATCACTTCTGCTTTACATATGATTTTAATTTTATTACAAATTCAATTGTAACATTTTAAAAATGTGGAATATAAAACAATAACAAAAAAATAAACAAATACAGAAATAAGTAATATGAATACAAAGAAAAGGACTTCATGTTTGGGGTCTAACAATGTGTAAGATGAGTGCTGTAGGTTTTTGTACAGCTGCTCAACCAACTCCAGTCACTGTGAGTCTCGAGCACAATAATAAACAGCAGAATCTTCAGTCTTCAGACTGTTCATCTGCAGATACACCTGCTGTCTGCTGTTGTCTCTGGAGATGGTAAACCGGCCTTGAACTGACAGAGTAGTATTTGCTGCTACTGCCACTGCTGATATAAGCGATCCATTCAAGTCCCTTTCCAGCAGCCTGTCTGATCCAAGCGTTGTCATAATTGCCACCAAACCCTGAATATGTACACGTCAGTCTGTGGGATTCTCCAGGTCTTTTAACCACTGATTCAGATTCTGTCAGTGTTTGAGCCTCAGTACCTGCAGATATTTAAACAGCTTATTAGTTAATATACAGTAGTTACATATTATCAGCATCTTTCCAGTAAAGAGTTTCATTGTTCTTACCTGCCAAGTTAATAGACAGGATGAGAAAAACAACCAAATAATCAGATATGATCATTTTAAATCTGGTTGTCTCTGTCCAGTCTACACTGTAAATGTCAGTGATTCAGTCTCTGTCCTTCACTCAGCAACACATTTGTAGAGATGGAAGAGATCAGAGTTTTGCATTGACTCCTCCTCACAGAGAAACCCACCACATCTCACAGATCTCTGGAAAACAGTGTTTTACATAATTCATTTGTATTCTGATTATAATTATGAACTTTTTAATTATTATTATTTTAAAGCCATTCAATAGTAACATTATTTATACACAAAATAGATGTTTTATTATTTTGCTTAACAACATTTAGAGGGCCATCCATATAATGCAAAATATATTCCTAAACGGAAACATTAGCAGACTCTTCGGTCTTCAGACTTTTTATCTGCAGATACACCTGCTGTCTGCTGCCTCTTGAGATGGTAAACCTGCTCGGACATGCACTGTTAACTGTGGGACCTTAGTCTGGTGTGTGCCTTTCCAAATCATGTCCAATCAACTGCATTTACCTCAGTTGGACTCCAATCAAGTTGTAGAAACATCTCAAAGATGATCAGTGGAAACAGGATGCACCTGAGCTCTATTTTGCGTGTCATAGCAAAGGCTGTGATTACTTATGTACATGTGCTTTTTTTTTAATTTTTATAAATTTGTGAAGATTTCAAACAAACTTTGTTCACCTTGTTATTATGGGGTATTTTTTGTAGAATCTTGTGGAAAATAATGAATCCATTTTGGAATAAGTCTTAATATAACCAAATGTGGAAAAACTGAAGCACTGTGAATACTTTAAACATGCACTGCACACGGCTGGATTAGGCCTAGTAGTTTTAATTTGGTGAAAATGGAAAATGAATGATTCCTGTAATTGACTGGCAACCTATCCCACTCCGACTTCTCGTCAAGTGTCACCTGTGAGCTCCGGCCCGCTACTATCAACATTAAGCAGGTTTTTGTTCCAGTTTGACAAACTAAAGAAATGCATTGGTTTTTTTGGAGGTCTTTGCCACTTTCTCTAGGGTGTTTAAATGTGATTGAAAGGGTGTTGCTCCCTGGGTTTATGTACATGTTTAAAGTATTCCAATTAAGCGTTTTCTCTAAAACTTTAATTCAATAATAATGTAATTTATTTGGGGGTATAAAACCCATTGTATCTCCAAGACTCACTTACTAAAATGCTTTGACCAGGGGCGCTGCACACAATTCTGGGCCCTATATACAAGCAGTCTCTGTGGCCCCCCTCATCTCTTGGTCCCTGTCTGTCACTCATCTTTTGAAAAATGTTGACAAATTCTGGAGCTTACAAGTCTGCACAGTTTGAAATCTCACCACATTTCAACTCTCTTTTCTCAACAAAGTGTCTCCTACGACTATTTTATTATGATTAAATAAGGTTTGCTATGATTATCAAGCTAAAATACCATTATCGTTTATTGAAGCGTTCATCATCTTCAAGGTATGGTAAGACAACGCTGAAAAAAATACCTTCTTAGTTGTCACAGCCAGACATTGAGAAATTGCTTACTGTACAGTACTGCATAATAAAAGACAAGGGAACCAGACTGCACTAGATACCTGCATTCAATCTAAACTGTTTTAGCTTAAACCATTCTTTAACTGCTAGTTGTGATTGTGATCACCTTTCTTTTGAAAGAAATAAGTTGGCAGTTATTTTCCTTCACTTTGCTTTCTTACTCTTCTTTTTCTTTTTTGGTACCTTAATTTCCCGTGCTTCGGGAAAGACTTGACTGTCCCAAAGCATGTTGATGCTCCAGCTTCAGCATCGCTCTGCTCTGCTAAACCATTTTGCGTCTTTTGGAAATGGTGAGAGTGACCTCCACTGTTCTTTATTTTTTTTGGGGGGGGTATACAAAGTTCAGTGTCTCAACGGATTTATTCAGACGCTTTTTATTTAGTTATGAAACTACTTGCTTAAAAATTAAGCATTGTAAACAAAAACAAAGTTTTCATTCCAGGATTTTAAAGGGGCCTCCGTCCATTGGGGCCCTGGATAATCAGACCCTCTCCTTGTATAACAGTGTAAAAATGCTGTTCCCTCAAAATAACACATCACACAGCCATTAATGTCTAAACAGCTGGCAACCAAAGTAAGTACACCCTTAAGTGAAAATGTCCAAATTTGGCCCAATCAGCTATCTTCCCTCCCCGGTGTCATGTGACTTGTTAGTGTTACAAGGTCTCAGGTGTGAATGGGGAGCAGGTGTGTTAAATTTGGTGTGAGCGGGTTGATGATTGGCGGTTCAATCCCCGGCTCCTCCAGGCTGCATATCCTTGGGCAAGACACTGAACCCTGAATTGCCACTGGTGGCTGTTTCATGAGTGTATGAATGTGTGTAAATGTTAGTTTCTGTTTGAGCACTTAAGCTCAGTGTATGAAAGTGGGTGAATGCTGAATGCAATGTAGTGTAAAAACACTTTTGAGTGTTTGAAAAGACTAGAAAGGCGCTGTACAAATACGGAGCATTTACTGGTCACTGGAAGTTCAAATCACTGTGTGATACTGTATATTGAGCAACTATATGCACCTGAAAAGTTTATTTAGTTTCTGTATTTGCCATGTAAAGTGTCTATGAGGATCCTGAAAAGCTCTCTGTAAATAAAATATTTCTCTGTCCTTATTTATTTCATTAGGCTAAAAAATAAAACTGAAATCCAATTAACACTATCAGCATTTAATTATACCATGTCCACTTAAAGTACTTTTTGATATTTTGATATTGTCTGTGCAGTGTGAACACATTCATCCCTGCCTGGAAAACACCTCTGCTTAATGTTGGAGTGTGTTACTAATTTCATGTTGCACCCATAAATGTGGCAAACAAAAAGTGTTGACTCTTTCCAGTACTGTTAACATTTATGTTTACTTACAAACACAGTGGGAGTGGAAATTAAATATACTGATACTGGTAAATAGAGGAAGTAGTTTTTGTATGACTCTCCTGTTATTGTCTCTCAGTGTGTCTCTTCTGGCACAGTAATACACAGCTGTGTCCTCGGTCTTCAGATTGTTCATCTGTAGATAGAGCTTACTGCTGGAGTCATCTCTGGAGATGATGAATCTACCCTGGACTGATTAGGAGTAAGAAATAGGGGAACTATATGTGCTTATATAAGCGATCCAATCTAGTCCTTTTCCAGGAGCCTGTCTGATCCCGCTCATAGGGTAGCTGCTGAATGTGAATCCAGAGGCTGTACAGGTCAATCTGTGGGATTCTCCAGGCCTTTTAACAACTGGTTCAGATTCTGTCAGTGTCTGACCATCAACACCTGTCAAGACAGCAAAGAAAATAATCACATGCAACAAACTGACACATTACAAGAAAACATAAGATCAGTGAAGATCTTCACCTGCCCAGCAGACAGTTAAAAGCAGCAGTCCTGTCCTGTAGTCCATCATGTTAAACTGTGTGTCCACTGTTCTCTGTCATCCTCTCTGCAGTCAGATAAGTAGAGGTGGAAGACATCTGAGTTTTGCATTGACTCCTCCTCACAGGGAGGAGATGAATTTGACTTGGATCTCAGTTACTGTTTGTTGAAACTGTAGGATGAATGTTTTCTGTACATGAGTCATTCAGCCAAAAGTCCATCTTTCATGGTTCAGTATAATTTGTGCAATAGGTCTGCAAACACATTATTAAATTGGCTTCATTATTAAGAAGAGTCTGTTTCATGTGAAAACTTTGGCAATAGTTTATAAATTTTTTACCTACATTTCACACACTTGTAGCATGCAGGTGCAACCCTCTGGACTCGCCAATCACGTGTGAAGTGCTCACTTTTTTACTTTTATGTATGTATTTGTGTTTGACATTGTCCTACCAGGAACAAATAAAGTATCTATCTATTCTATCTGTCTGTCATTGCCTTAATCACAACTCTTATTAGGGTTAGGGTTAAACACATTCATCACACTACTACAGATCATTTTTCTTAACAAGAAATAAAACATTTTTATATTTAAGATAAAAATAAGACCTCAATATTCAGTCACTCACTATTAAAATTTCCAATACTGACAGTTACAGAAAGGAAAAACAAAAAAGGGATACTGAGACAACTGAATGTTGCCAGAGCTGATAAATAGAGGAAGTAGTTTTTGTATGACTCTCACATTATTGTCTCTCACTGTGTCTGTCTGGCACAGTAATACACAGCAGTGTCTTCAGGCTGCACATTCTGTCCGTTTAGAGTCACTCTGTTGCTGGAAGAGTCTAAGGAGATACTGAACTTGTTCTTTAGTGAATCTTTGACAGTTGTGTCACTACTAATCCACTCCAGTCCTTTCCCTGCAGGCTGTCTGATCCAAGCTGTGTAGTATCTGCTAACAGAATAAGAGACCTGACAGGTGATGGTCAGACGTTGACCTGGCTGCACAGTCACAGAGGCTGGCTGTGTCAACTGTTCACACTTCACACCTGTTAAAAAAAGAAAATGTTTTGTAACAAATGATCAAGTTATACTGCAATAGAAGAACTGCTGACTTTGACAAATCCAGAGAGACTCACATCCAGCTGCCAACAGCAGCAGCAGAGCTACAGAAAACATGGTTTATGTTGAAAGTGACGTGCTGTGAACTCCACTGACAGCCTGGTGGGAAGTTTTTATAGCTGAGTAACAAGGAAGGTCACTGAGTTTGCATAGAATCAAACACATGAAGCATCAATGTTGGTCTAACTGGAGCCAGTAGAAGAGTCTGTTGACTGTTATTATATCTGCAGAGTGAAAACATGCCTGGAAATCACCTCTGCTTTACATGTGATATTTTAATTTCACTACACTAAAACAATTAAATAATAAAACATTATTTACATTATTACATAATTGCAACAACGACAAGGATCATTATTAATTAATTATAATTCTAAATATGTAATAAACATATTTATTAAAATCCACAAACAAGAAGTAACCACCAAGAATGTTTCTTTCTATAAGCCATGTTTACAGTGTGGTCAGTATGTTTTCAAATGATTAAAACTCACTTAAAATAAGATGTGAGCTGTCTTATTGTGAGAATTTATTTCCTGTCAGCACCTCCT